ATTGGTCTCCAGCTACAAGTACTTGGGTGTACACATGAATGACAACCTCAGCTGGAGCAACAACACCACCAGCCTGACGGCTGAGGCGAGCTGGTCTGGAAGCTCAGTCCTCACCTCCTTCTACAGGTGTGCAGTGGAGAGCATCCTGTGCTCCAGCATCAACGTGTGGCATGGAGGCTGCACAGCTGCAGAAAGAAAAGCTTTGCAGAGAGTGGTGAAGGCTGCACAGAAGATGTTGGAGTCAGTCTCCCCACCATCACAGACATCTACACCTCCAGATGCAGGAAGAGGGCCACCTGCATCATGAAGGACCCCACTCACCCAGCACACACACTTTTTGCCCCACTCCCCTCAGGAAGGAGGTTGAGGAGCATTAAGTGTAGAACCACTAGACTGAGGAACAGCTTCTACCCTGAGGCTGTTAGACTCATGAATCTCTAACCACTGCTCCACCTGGGTGTATCCCAGGTGCAATGGGTTAAATGCAGAGAACCAATTTCGTCTTTGTATGGAAACATACAATGATGACAACACATAGCACTTTATTATTATTATTGGATATTGACATCCAGCAGGGTTGAGTCAGGTCTTCTGGACGGATCCTTCTTTGTGTCAAAGACGTTTCAACAAAGAAAGATCCGTCCAGAGGACCTGACTCAGCCTTGTTAGATTTTTCCTCCTGGATTATTGAGCAGCATCAGGACATTTTGAACCTCTTTGGACAATGACAGTTCAATCACAACCGGCATTAAGGAGCTCAGCAATGTGTGCAAAAGAAAAAAGCTCTTGGGGACAAGACCTCACAAAGTAACTTTTCTTACACATCAAAGAGCTGCACCCGCTGTGTGTCAGGAGGAGACCGACTACAAGTTTTAGTTCTCAAAGATGTTTCTCCTCCACTTCAAAGGTTTGAAGAAACTCCACTGACAGAAAGGAAACAGAACCTAAGAAGGGAAGTTAATTTGTGTTCTGTTTAGGCACTCGGGGATCTCATCACCTCTGAGAACCTCATCTGACATGCATGGACCCAGTTCATTTTCTGATGACTGCTCTGACAGGCTCCAGTTCCAGCTTGTCTTCATTTGTTTTGCCTCATTCCAAGTAAAAATAGTCGCCATCTTTATAATTTATTTAGCTTTCTCATTGTTGCCTGACTCAGACATTGTTGTAGAGACTTCTTATTGCCCGCCGCTGAGGGCAGACGGTTCAGTCAGCGCTGTCTGTTAGCACCGTCGTTTCAGAAGTGAAGGGACGCACATCTACAACAGAAGGGTCAACATGGCTGCCGCGTCTAGCCTCCATCTGCAACCTGCTCATAACACAATTAATGGGGTAAGGTTTATGTGGCACAATCTGAGAGTCATCCTCTACACTGAGCATTGACACATTGTGCAAGAGTTGGCTTTGGTGGCCATCTTGAAGTAAAACTAGAGTAAAAGGCGGTGGGCAATGTACGTTCCAGTCGTCCACATCACAAACTACAAGCACGAACAGATCAGCTGAGATCACGCAAGATGTTGCAATAATGTGTGAGATTGTGCATATTGTCATTGTTAAGGTTTAAGAGGACTTCATCTTTCCTCAGTATAATTCATTAATTCATAAAGTGTTGGCTTCTTGACTCAAATGCTTCCACATTTATCACATTCAGCTGGTGACAAAAACAAGATTTTCAGTGGTCATTTATCCATGAGTGGCTTTAAAATGTAAACAGCAGATTTAACATGGTTACAGAAGACATACAATTATATATATATATATATGCATATATATATAAATACCAGTATAAGTAAACTGTAACATTTGGATGGAATCTTTTTTCTTTCCTGTGTGAGCAGGCTGGTATGTGGCTGCAGCTCTCCTGGGGCACATCAGTATTTCACAGCGGTGCTGAGAGACAAAAAGAAAACGTCTCTGACTCCAACGTGTTGTTAGAGGAACATTCCTCAAGTGGACACAAAGGCAGAACCTCTCACTTCCAGGACGACTCCAGTTTCCTCTCTGTCCTCCGTGAGCTGGAATTCCAGGTGCTGATGGAGCGCCGCCTGAGGCGAGAGCAGCTCCGTCCTCACGGTCACATTCTTATAATGAACTTTACAAAATATATAATTATGTGTCATGGATCTCCGAGGAGGTGCTCACCCACAGTCACAGGTGACTAGAGATGGTAGGATGATCAAATCTGAGCTCTAACTGAACCCTCGACGCTATAAACTGCGGCTTTTGTTCATGTTGTCACTTACACTCACAGATTCACACACTGCTTCAGGATTATCTGAAACTGTGCTCTTGTTAACTTGTTTTTCAAAAATAAATAATCCCAATGGATTACCAACAGGAATTTGGACATTTACATTAATGCCACCTTCCTTCTAATTATTTATTGGCAGAGACTTCTGAGAGTCTCTTCAGAAAGACTTGAGATGACTGAGAGTTTAAAGGGCGGCGGCAGGAAGACAAATGTAAACAGGGATTAGGTTTTACAGCAGATGAGGAGCAGCTTCATGTAGTCTGGATTAAAGAAATTGAACTCACCCAATGTGTTTGTGTTTGGTGCCATCTGGTGGAAACAAATGGAGTTCCTCATGGCTGCAGAACAGTATTTTCACAACTATAAAAATCTACTCTGTTACTGATTTTAATTTTAAAATGGTTATTGAGGAGCTTGTTTTTTAACTTTAAGAGCATTTTGGTCATGAACGTCTGGAGCTGCTTTTAGTTCAGTTCCAATTTTTCTGATTTGTTTTCATCCCTGATTCTTTCAGTTCTAGTTTTCTTTGCTGATCAATAAACATGTTCTCTACTCAGTGGAAGAAATCACAATTATAATAAAACAACTGTCCGTATATACATACATACATATATATATATATGTGTGTATAGATGTATAGATGGATATATGGATGGATATATGTGTATATATA